GTTATAAGTTTATCATTATTATAATTATAAAATATACTTATCTTTTTAATATGCAATACAGTATGTTGACTAAATAAAAAAAAAGTATATAAGTTAAAGCTCAATTTATAAGATAGTATGGGTTATAAGTTTATCATTATTATAATTATAAAATATACTTATCTTTTTAATACACAATATAGTATATTGACTAAATAAGAGAAAAGTATATAAGTTAAAGCTCTATTTATAAGATAGTACAAGTTATAAGTTTATCATTATTATAATTATAAAATATACTTATCTTTTTAATATACAATATAGTATATTAACTAAATAAGAAAAAAGTATATAAGTTAAAGCTCTATTTATATGATAGTACAGATTATAGTTTATTAGACTCAATTCCTGAAAAGTTTTTAGAAATTGAGTCTGCTAAACTTTATACTGCAAAACCTTTTTTTTTAATATTTCATATTCAAACCCAAACTTGTTCATGAACTTCAAACTGAACCCAAACTAAATTTATTACTGTGTTCGAGTCAGGTTTGGGTTCGGAAATTAAAAGTTTGAATTCGGGTTCAGGTTTGAAGCTAGTAAAATTTACTGTTCGAGTTCAGTTCGAGTTCGGGTTTGACCCAAACCGAAATGAACTCGAACTCGAACTGAACATAAGGATCCTAACAATAAGGCTACTCCAAATTGATTTTATATTTAATTTAAGAAATTTATTTTATAGTGCTATGGCATTACAATGCTATAGCACTATAATGCTATCTTTTTATTTATATTTTTATAATTAATTATTTATATTTTTATATTATAAATTATATACTAAACATTTATGTAATAATTATCTAATTAGACTACGCCAGAGCGTAGGATTGATTTTACTGTCACATGATTTTCTGACGTCTATCAACCAATCAAAGATTAGGATCAGGTGTAATATGAAAAAATTCAAAACAAACGTTCGCTTTGCTTATCTCAAAATTTAGTCTAGCAAACCATCTTCGGAGTCCTAACAAAAAATTTCCTTGTGTGATTTTGCTACATTTTTGTTTTTTCTAACTTTAACCTAACCTTAACCTAAACTCTAACCCAAGTTTTTATCTTAACGACATTTGGTTTCCAACTATCACGTGATAGTAAAATCGACCCTACGCCCTGGCGTAGTCATTTAATTAGAGCTTAGAACTGGTTTTATTTGTCGTATATTAAAATCGATTAAAACCAGTTTAAATATAAGAAAGCTAAAACCAGCCTCAAACCCTAAATTCCAGTTTACTATTCTATAACTAAAAAAAATTTTATACGATCATATACATAAGTGTAAAAAATATCAGGAAAATCTAACTAATAAGTTAATAAAACTCATTATGTAACACATGTAATACATTCGCATATATTCAGGTTATACTTCTAGTTAGTATAAGGGGAAATATACTGACACAGCATACATTTACTAAATGCACAGCAAAATAGCTAAAATTAAACTAATCAACACAGCATTGCCGGCATTATAGTTAGATTTAGCACGTGTGTGCTGTGTCGATTTATCTTTCCTTAGTATAAAATATATCCACAATCATGCCAAAACTGTTTTATGTTTAGTATTACAACATATTTCACTGCTATGCAAGTTAAATAAACACTTTCATAATGATAATAATAAAATTTTGAGTGACAAACGATCTGTGATTACATTTTGATCAGTGAAATTTTAGACTAGCAGCCCATTCAATATTTTATCGAACTAGTTTTGACACTTTAAAATTTCAATTTTAATAAGCAACTTAAATGATCCCAAAAAAACCACCATAAACTAAAAATTGGCCTTTGTGGCATCATTCTTCTTTACAATGCTCAACTGCAGTTATTTAATAATAAATACTTGCTAATTAAACCACTATCGCTATTCTTGTCTTCTAGAACAAGTTACCCGATTATGACCTGTACCTCCACAAATCTTATAGTGCAGCTTGTGTTTTGCTTTTTTCGGTGGCTCATTAGCACGCCGTATTCTATTAGTTCCCTTGGGCCGACCCTTACCTTTATGCTTTTGAAGATTCATTAGCTCTTTTGGATCCAACCTTCTTTTTTCGGTACTATCTTCACTTTCACTATTTGATGTACTGTTTGAATCAACATCACTATCACTATTAGAAGATAGTTCTCGACAATCTTCCAAGTATTTATCAAGAATAGAAATGAAGTTATAATCATGTCTTCGAACAGCTACCATTAAAGCTGCTCTAGCCTTGCCTCATGCTTCACTATACAGCTTACGTTCATCTATTGTTTTGCGGTTTATATCCTTCATTTCATACACAGCGCCTTGATTTAAAGCGTTAAGGTAAGGAACCGAACCATTCCAACCCATTGTTACTGACTGTTCTATTCCAAATTTTTGTGCAACTAGAAATGATTCTTGTACCGGATCACTACTAGTTTCATTATACCAATGTGATCTTATAAGCTGAATATGGAATGCTGCATTTCGTGTACACAGCATTACCTAGAAAAAATGGCGACAGACAATTCCACGATTACAATGATTAAAACAAGAGCATAAATGTATTCCATCATTCAAGAGTATTACAAAATGCTGTGTTTCACTTGATATAACACGGTGAACTCCCCACATTTCTACAATCTTATTCATATCGATGAGGTTAAGCATTGACTTAGCAATAATACCAGTATGATTTTCACCAAATAAGGTAGGATCATCCAGATTTACCTACAATTTAAAGACTAACGTTAAATTATCTGCTAATGCTAAAAATTATTTACCAAACAAAGTAAGGATTACCAACAATGGTAAGTTATGTATCACTAACTAGTTATACGTAGTGACTTATATTAGTGGTAACAACGAATTACAACTGGTTATTACTTACGGTAAGAAATCTTTGCAATTCTTCTTGAATCACTATTGTAGCATGATATTGAAGTGATTGCTTTATTTAATCTTCCTGAATCTTAAGCATTTCCACAATTAGATATTTGCGTAGCATTTTGCAAATGTCTGGAAAAATACTATCAGCTATCGCAACCAAAGCCGCTTTAGGAACTGATGCACAGAATAAAGCATATTCCGTTTTTTTGTCTTCTTCGAGAACACATTCTGTTAATTTGTTTGCAAGTTCTAACATGGTTGTATTGGAATTAAATATTAATCTTTTGAGCTTTGCATTATAGCTTTCAACTCGTGAAGTAGATGACATTCCAGCCATAAATAATTTCAGCACAAATGCTTTTGCCCATGATTCCTTACTGGCATAGAGCCGTTATAAGTAATTAACAACACTCTCATTACTATACTTATCAAGCAAACATTTCCACTGATATTTGAACATTGTAACAAAGCTAATTCATTGCACTTCGAAGAAATCTCTAATAAACTCATCATAATCGTTTTTAAGATGACTTTTCAAGTTTAGAGGAATATTTTGAGCAATGTGGAATATGCAATGAAGAGAGTTTGTGGTTGGAAATTCATCACGTATTGCGGCAAGTAAGGCGAGGTCTGTGTCAGTGAAAATAACCTGTGGAGTAGCTCCATTTGTTGCTTGTTTAATTTGCTGCAAAATCCAGCTATGCGCATCTTTTGTTTCATCGTCTGTCAGTGCTTGAGCTACAAGTCTGGAAGATAAATGGTTATCAACCACCAAAAAAAGCAACAATGCTATCTCATAACGATTAGTAGCGCTAGTATTATCATTTAGGACAACATCACCAAACTTTAACCATCATTCAATTTGATCAGGAGACATATAGAATAATCGACGAAGACATTTACTACTAGGGTCCCAATCTACTTGAACATACC